TAATAGCTGGGGGCGTCCGACTGATTCTTACCGAAGCGATGGCGAGCTGTGCTCAAACCTAAGGCTAGGGACAAGAAATGTATTAGTTAGTAAAGGTAAGTAAAGGATACAAATGAGAGCTTACTGACCTAGGGACAAGAGGTCGAAACTGAGGTCCCTAGGGCAGCAGAGGCTGGTTTATATACATGGGAAGATTTAGGGCAGGCTGTGCACGTTGGTCCGTGCGCAGCTGGTCTGTGCGCAGCATGCCGACGCGGCCCCGGGGGCCGGTGAGTCAAAGCGGCTGTGTCAGCGGGGCCCGAGCTGTGCCGTGCACTGCCGTCCTATCTAATCTGATCGTACAGTAGATAATGATGTGTCCGTATCGGGCAGGTAGTACAGAGGTCGCGGGTTCGAGCCCGCGAAAAGGAAAAAATTGAAAAAACGGCTAGGCGCCGTACCAACTCGTGACATTACCCCCCCCTCAACGGCGCATGACCTCATGCGAGGCGCCCTTGCCCATCTCCCACCCAGAGTGGCAGCGTGCTTCAGTCAGCGGCGAAGGCATTGGCTGAAAGTTGAGACCACCAAATGCAGCAGCGTTGAGGCGGCGAGGGGCGTTCGGGTTCTTCCGATGGAAGTCGGCTATAAGGGCCGGCGCATTAGCAACATTGCGCGCCGGTTCCCATGACGTATGCGAGTCGTCATAACCCTTCCACTTGACAAGGTACTGCAGCTGACGTCGGAAGATCCTCGAATCCTTGATCCGCTCAACCTCGTACTCCTCGTCGCCTTCAACCTCAATCGCAGGCGGCTCCTCCGGCTCCCAGCCCGGGATATCGCTACGCGTGTACTTGCTAAGCAGGGAGACATGGAACACCGGGTGTACCGGCACCGATTTTGGCAGGATTAATTCATAATCCAGGTCTCCGAGCTTTCGTCGCACGGCATATGGTCCGAGGCGCTTGGGACTGAGCTTCTTGCTCGGCTGTTTCAGCTTAAGGTTCCGAGCGTCAAGCCAGACCTTGTCCCCCGGCGCAAAGACCGGTGCCTCCTGCACGTGCTTGTCGTAGTATACTTTCATACGCTCGGCTGACAGCTCGAGCGCAGAGCGCGTATCGTCGCGAATCTCCTTCAGGATTTTGAGCCGATCAGCGGCCGCAGGCATCGCAGACATCGGATTGATCCGCACTTGGATCTCAGGATTGTACCCTTGATGCAGGTAGAAAGGGGAGTGCCCGGTCGCGGAGTGAACTCGGTTGTTCAATGCGAACTCCGCGAGCGGCAACTGCTTCGCCCAATCATCCTGCCTGTGGCTTGTGAAAGCGCGCAGGTACTGCTCGATCTCCTGATTCCAGCGCTCAGTCTGGCCGTCTGTCTGAGGGTGGAACGCTGTGGACAGCGCCGGCTCGATTCCCAGACCCTTGTACACCGCATGGAGATATTTCGAAGCGAACTGGGGACCTCGGTCTGATATGACCTTGGCCGGGGCCCCATGATGCTTGAACACATCGCGGATGTACAGATCCGCCGCACCTTCTGCCGTCAGGGTCTCATGACAGGCTGAGAAGTGGACCTGCTTGGTGAAGCGGTCGGCGGTCACCAGGATCGAGTCGAATCCATCAGACTTCGGCAAGCCAACGATCATATCGGTCGTGATGATCTGCCACGGGCGCTCGGGGATCTCGTTCGGTTTCAGCGGACCCTGGGGCTTGGCTGGGAATGTCTTGGTACGGTTGCACACGTCGCAGGTGCTTACGTACTCATTGACAAATTTGGACATCCCAGGCCACCAGTAGTTCCGTGACACGAGCTCCAGGGTTTTGGCACGGCCGCCATGACCGGCGATCGGCGAGTCGTGGTGGATTTTGACTATATCCCGCCGGAGCTCCGCGTTCTTTGGGACGTACACACATCCGCGGAACAGCAGAAGCCCTTGTTCGGCATTCCACTCCTCAAAACCCCTTTGCAGCCGGGGCGGCCCGAGGTCCTGCACCTTTTCAAGTGCCTCGGCCACCTCCCGATCCTTCTTCGAGCACTCTCAGATGCGCTTCAGAAGTGACTGATCAGCCGTCACCAAGGCATGACCGCGCCTGGCAGAGGCGATGCGGAAGCGCTCTGGCTTGAGAACTACCTGATCGGTGTTATCGTCCTCATTGCCGATCTTGTCGCGACTTGAGGTCAAGCGACTGGCGAAAACCTAATAGCTGGGGGCGTCCGACTGATTCTTACCGAAGCGATGGCGAGCTGTGCTCAAACCT